TCTTTGTCGGCTCCACAGCCATTTCCTTAAAATCCATTTTAATATTATTCTCCCACAACCGCCTGGGTCTTCCGACTTGTCTCTTCCGTCATGGCCAAATTCTGATTGGTTCTTGGGTCATGTAACGACGTTTCTCAATTGCAATGCGTCGAGCAGTAAACGATGAATTTGAAAGGATGTGGAGGAGGCCGTCGTGGGTGTGTGCCCGCGTTTTCCACGAGGCCCTACAGAGACCAGCGTCGGCCTGTACAGTTCACGAAAAATCGCAGCCTGTCGGTTTGTTCCGACGTCTCCTTATTTCCTGCCCCGTCCTGAATTCAGTGCTGAGCTGCCTTATCGCTGTCGCAGCGGAAGGCCCTTTGTCACTTCCAGGGTGTTGAAACAGCCGGGCGAGATGTTCGTGTGGGCGATAAAGTTTATTGAATCATCATAAGGCTACGTCAACACTCTACCCCGCGCATTCTGAGTCGGAAATGTGGAAAATCAATTTCCGCGTTTTGAGCAGCGACACGAGGGACTCTTGCTTCTGACACCTCTCGGAAGTGCACGCGTACACACGGCGCATTCGGTTGGCCTCGTCTTGTTACCGTCCCGTCAGATGCCAGGCTCGCCGTTGTACGAGAGTGGACAGGTTCCTGGACTACTTCACTTTCGAAGGGAAGGAGATCAGGATCTGTGGCCCAAGCGGAGTTCGATCTTGCGGTCGTTTGCGCAGGATCAAACAGTGCCAGCCCACGAGGTATAGGTGGTACATGCACTTACCAGTGTTCTTTATAAAGTGTTTGTGTTCTGACAGTGACAAGTCTATATTCGGCATGGCTGAATTCGATCGACGCCACGGGCGGACAGAACATGCCTCTAGCTGTTATTCTGGTTCGTTTTTCTGGGTGTGAAAAGTGAAGAAGGCGTCTGAGGTTGCGTGTCGAGTGAAGACGGCCGTTAACAGTGTCTTGAGGCAAGGGTAGAGCCCGACCTCCCGCGAGGCGGAGCGCGCCAAGTGTTCGTGTCAGATCGCCATAACAGAATCATCGTAACGTGAGACAGAAGTTGCGATAAAGTAGGGATATTTTAGAACGATGCAGACAAATCAAAATTAGATTCGCGAAGATATTAAAACCTCGATAAATTCAGCGGAACTCAAATAACTCTCATGTCGTTATAGTTCGTCTCGTAGACGGGATTCGAACGCCGACCTCCGGAGCACAAAGTAGGAACGATTCTTTGTCTGGTGTGAGTTTGTCTTCAGACGAGAAGCAAAGCAGGCAGCTTCTAGTCCCTTGATAAGGGGCATATTCGTTTAATTAAACTTAGAACGTATCGTGAATGAATTATCAAGACATGAATCACTAAGCAACCTGAGCAGAATTCTTGATAAGGTAATGCGAGGTATCTTCGTCGCAGATACGCCCAGAATGAAAGTGCGACCTTTGCCATCCATTCATCCACCAGACGATAATACTAGAATTGGTTTGGAATATTGAAGTGGATTAATCTTACTCAGGGTACAGTCCAGAGGAATAGGTTAAGTTAATTGGCACGCTGAAGTATCTTCGGGGACCGTAAAGAAACAGTGAATTTATTTCCGAGGTGTCGCCTGGGTGTGTTGGAACACCAGCAGAAGTCATTCGATGCATGTGAACGATGAGCTTCGTTGAGTCGGTAAGGAACAGTTTTTATGGTGACTGAAGAGAACCTAGGTAACGGTTGTTCGCGAAGGTCAATTTTCTTGGGGATATTGGATCCCGGTGTCTGTGAAATGCGAAGCACCTCGGTACGTCTGTGAGGAAGGCGCTGTGTGTGTTCTAGACGTCCATTGTGTGCCTCAAAACACGCCAAGGTTTACATATAAGTGAAGGCAGCGTAGTGTATCATATGGCAACCCGGGCTTCACGACGAAACAAGTGTTCTGCTTTGCGTTCTGCAAATCCCCTTTGTCTCATCTGCTTCAGCGAGTGTGACAATGGAATTCTGGCAGGATGCGAGGCTTGTCCTCACACGTGCCGTCTCGTTATTTCGTTGAGGCCGAGTTTCGTTTGCGCACGTTGGTCGAGTCCATTCTTAAGGGGGTGGGCGGTGGGCGGTTTAACTTGGCAGTATTAATTAATATAAAATGTAATTACCTCGATGGAACACAATACTTGAGAAGGTAACAGTCTTTCAGGTGGTCGGAAAATTATCCGCCGCCTATGCGAAATACAGGTTTAAGGTTGCCCTTAGTTAGGAAGGCGACGGTACGTGTGAGACTTTAATGACACGGCAGTGAGCAACTTGTGACACTGTGCAAGCTGTCAGTTCCCCACCTGCCCGTTATTTCGATTTGCATTGCAAATGGCGGAAGTCTAGTTCTGCGGCCAACATGAAATAAAGAGACGGTGGTAATCTATGCATGTTGCGAGCCAAACAGAGGTAAATACGGAAGTCGGAGATGAAGATCCTCTTGCAGCAGCACGCCACGGCGCTGTGCTCCTGTCTCCGATCAATCATTGACTGTTTGCCAATAGAAGGCGCGCACACACAGCGAAAATGTCTGTTCTCTTATTGGCTTACTGTCTTGGTGGTGGTTGGTGATCCATCACGTGTGGAATTAAAAGAAATCCAGACGTTTGATCGTCGCGATGGTTTTGCAGGAAATGTGTTCGTGGGTCTGCGAGTCGACGTTTCGTCACAGTATTCAAATTTCTTGATATGTAAACTTTACTTTTGACTTGGATAAATAGATTATTTGTGAAATTGCGGTTATCCTCTGAAAAATTTTTACTCTGATTCCGCTGTGTGTTTAACGCGTTGTATAAGACATTTGGTAGTACGCCTCGTTCTTGTCGCGTGATAGACGCTCATTAAATTGTTAACTTGCTCTGTTACTGGCAGTGGTCGTCGGTCTTTGAAGTAATTGGACCGCGCCATGATTCAAGTTTCGTGGTTCCTTTACGTAGAAAACGACCAAGCATATATATTTATTTTTTATGCTACTGGTGGTCACGGAACTTCGGTTGGGTCGTCTTTAAATAAACAACGAACATGCGATGACCAGAGCAAGAACTGTTTGCTTGCAGTGCGAATGGGTTTTTGCAACACTTTTGCGCATTGTTAAATTAATTCCCGCCGTAGTTCCTCCAGGTTTAAATTCCGTTATTCGCCAGGTAATTCACTTGAATTCCGGCTGAACGGGAAAAAAACCAATTTGTACCTGGAATAATAGATTCGTACGAGCAGTAAATGAAAACCCAGTCGAATGGAGTGAGGGCAAAGTCACATAGAAAATTATTTTTTTTAACTGTGGATTATGATGCGTGTCGGAGTCACTGGCTGAACCTGAAACGAGTTCGCTTTTCGCCGATCAGACTGCGTCGCGTCACAAGGCGGAAGGTCACACTGTGTGTCACCCCGCCAGAACTACGACTAGAAAACTTAAATTATGTTATATTATATTATGTGCGTGCTGTACTCTGTGCCCATCTCGTTCGCCTTGGTTTGATCTTACGAATAATATTTTTAGAGGACGCAGATGCTGTGGATATGATCAAATCAAGGATGGTGAGATGGGCTGGGCATGTAGCAGACCACTCGAACGACCTACGCGTGGATGTGCTCTTATGGGCAGGACAATGAACCTTCGGGTTCCGGAAAGTGCTGCAACGCATGACCAAGGTGAGCGACTATCAGCTTCTCATGTTCTGATACGCCCACGCAGTTTCGTCAACATCTGGACTTTGCCGCCCCCCCCCCCCG